CTACAGAGTACAGTAGAGTACAACCATCACAGTACTGTGCAACCACCACAGTACTGTATAACCACACAGTACAGTACAACCAACACAGTACAGCACAGTACAACCAACACAGTACAGCACAGTACAACCAACACAGTACAGCACAGTACAACCAACACAGTACAGCACAGTACAACCAACAGAATACAGTACATCAAACACAGTGCAGACTATCCACACAGTCCAATACAACCACATAGGACATTACAGTACAGTACAACCAATACAGTACAGCACATTACAGTACAACCACACAGTACGGTACAGTACAAACAACACAGTACAGTACAACCACACTGTACAGTATAACCAACACAGTACAGTACAACCAACACAGTACAGTATAGTACAACCACACAGTACAGTGTAACCAACAGAGTACTGTATAACCAACACAGTATGTACAACCAAGACAGTACAGTACAACTACACAGTACAGTACAACCACACAGTACAGCATAACCACAGAGTTCAGTACAACAAACACAGTACAGTACAAACAACACAGTACAGTACAGAACAGTACAACCAACATAGTACAGTACAGAACAGTACAACCAACACAGTACAGTACAACTACACAGTACAGTACAACCAACATAGTATAGTACGACCACACGGTGCAGTACAACCAATACAGTACAGCACAGTACAGTACAGTACTGTAAAGAACAACCAAAACAAGGCAGTACAACCAACAGAGTACAGTGCAACCAATACAGTAGAGTACAGTACAATCAACACAATACTGTACAACCACACAGTACAGTAAAGTACAATACAGTAAAGTAAAACCAACACAGTTTAGTATAACGACACAGTACTGTTCAACCACACAGTACAGTACAACCACCCAGTGCAGTACAACCAATACAGTACAATACATTACAGTACAACCAATACAGTATTGTACAGTACACCCACTCAGGACAGTACAACCAAACAGTACAGTACAATACATTTCAATCAACACAGTACAGTACAACCGCACATAACGGAACAGTTCAGTACAACCAACACAGTACTGTACAACCACACAGTACAGTACAACCAACACAGCACTGTACAACCAGCACAGTACAGTATAATCACACAGTATAGTAAATCCACACAGTACGGTACAGTACAGTACAACCAAATCAGTACAGTACAACCAATTCAGTACAGTACAACCACAAAGTACAGTACAACCAACACAGTATAGTATAATCACACAGTACAGTAAATCCGTACAGTACAGTACAGTACAACCAAACAGTCCACTACAACACATAGTACAGTATAACCACACAGTACTGTACAACACATAGTACAGTACAATCACATAGTGTAGTACAATACTTTACAGTACAACCAATACAGTAATGTACAGTACACCCACCTCAGGACAGTACTACCTAACAGTACAGTACAATACAGTTCAATCAACACAGCACAGTACAACCACACACAACAGTACAGTTTAGTACAACCACACAGTACAGTACACCACATAGTACAGTACAACCTCAGAATACAGTACAGCTCAGTACAACCAACTTAGTACTTTACAACCAACACAGTACAGTACAACCAACACAGTACAGTACAACCACACAGTACAGTAAAACCACACACAACAGTACAGTTCAGTACAACCAAAACAGTACTGTACCACCACACAGTACAGTACAACCAACACAGTAGAGTACAACCACACAGTACAGTACAACCAACACAGTACAGAACAACCACACAGTACAGTACAACCACACACAACAGTACAGTTCAGTACAACCAAAACAGTACTGTACCACCACACAGTACAGTACAACCAACACAGTACAGTACAACCACACAGTACAGTACAACACATAGTACAGTATAACCACACAGTTCAGTATAACCACACAGTACAGTACAACCAACACAACAGTTCAACCAAAACAGTACTGTACCACCACACAGTACAGTACAACCAACACAGTACAGTAACCACACAGTACAGTAACCACAGTACAGTACAGTACAACCAACACACTACAGTATAGTACAACCACACAGTACAGTACAATTACAACAACCAACATAGTACAGTACAACCACACATTACAACCAACACATTTCAGTATAGTACAACCACACAGTATAGTACAGTACAACCACACAGTATAGTTCAGTACAACCACATAGTACAGTAAAACCAACACAGTACAGTACAACCAACACAGTACAGTATAGTACAACCACAGAGTACAGTACAACCACACAGAACAGCACAGTACAACCAACACAGTGCAGTACAACCAACACAGTACAGTACATCCAACACAGTACAGTACATGACAACTACACAGTACAGTACAGTACAGCACAGTACAGTACATTACAACCACACAGTACAGTACAGCACAACCAACACAGTACAGTACAATACAACCTACACAGTACAATATAGTACAACCATACAGTATAGTACAGTACAACCACAGAGTACGGTACAACCAACACAGTATAGTACAGTACAACCACACAGTACAGTACAGTTCAACCACACAGTACAGTAGAACCACACAGTACAGTACAACCAACACAGTACAATACAGTACAGTACAACCACGCAGTACAGTACAACCAACACAGTACAGTACAACCAACACAGTACAGTATAGTACAACCACACAGTACAGTACAGTACCACACAGTACAGTACAGTACAACCACACAGTACAGTACAACCACACAGTACAGTACAGTACAACCACACAGTATAGTACAGTACAACCACACAGCACAGTAAAGTACGACCACAAAGTACAGTACAACCACACAGTACCGTACAGTACAACCACACAGTAAAGTACAACCACAAAGAACAGTTCAACCACACAGTACAGTACAACCAACACAGTACAATACAGTGTAGTAAAACCAATACAGTACAGCACAGTACAACCACACAGTACACTACAACCACACAGTACAGTACGACCAAACAACACAGTACAGTACAGTGCACTACAACCAATACAGTACAGCACAGTACAACCACACAGTACAGTACATCCAACACAGTGCAGTACAACCATCACTGTACTGAACAACCAACACAGTCCAGTACAACCAACACAGTACAACACAGTACAGTACAACCACACATTACACTACATCGTCACAGTACAGTAGAGTAAAATCAACATAGTACAGTACAACCACACATTACAGTAAAGTATAGTACACTACAGTATAACCAACATAGTACTGAACAATCAACACAGTACAGTATAGTACAGCCACCACAGTACAGTAAAACCTCACTGTCTAGTACAACCAATACAGTACAGTATAACCACACAGTACATTACAACCAACAGAGTATTGTACAACCAACTCAGTGCAGTACAGTACAACCAACACAATACAGTACAACCACACAGTACAGTGCAACCACACAGTACAGTGATAACAACACAGTACTGTACAATCGACAAAGTACAGTACACTACAACCGCCACAGTACTGTACAACCATCACAGTACAGTACATCCAACACAGTACAGTGTATACACACAGTACAATACAACCACATAGTACTTACAATACAGTACAACCAACACAGTACAGTACAACCACACAGTACAGTATATCCAACACAGTACAGTACAATACATCCAATAGAGTACAGTACAACCACACAGTACACAACAACTAACACAGTAGAGTACAGTATAGTACAACCGACACAGTACAGTACAACTAATGTTTCCAGATACGGCACATTTATCAGGAATTGTCACAGATTGAGCCCCCCCCCCCGTCCCTCCCCGGGACGCTGAAAATTTGTATTTAATGCGCGGTGAAGGACGAATTTTCGACTCAGAGTGGGTTGATTTGTTATAATTAGATTTTGGTCTTCGTGTCCTTCGCAAATTTGACAATGTGTCTCGATATATTTTCATCAATGTCGGATAGAGTCTTGTGGTACTCCACTAAAAACTTTTTCCATTCAGTATGTACTCTGTTTATGATCACTCTCTCTTGCCTGTCTTCAAGCCAGTTGTTATTCTACACCAAAATTTTGCCTGCGATACCATATGCCTGGATCTCTTAGACTATTCGCGCATGTGGGACTTTTTCATACATCTTGGAGAAATCCATTTACAACACATCCACTGGTGAGCCTTAGTCCACAGATTCTGTTACCATTCCAAGGAACGTGAGTATGTTTACCAACTGGATTTTCTTTCCATGAAACTTTGTTGTGGTGCTTTGAATGCTTCAGAATGTTTTCAAAGAGTTGGCATATATTTGATGTTAGGCTGATCAGCCTGTAGTTTTCTATTGGACTTTTTCTACCCTTCTTGTATACTGGGGTGACTTTGGGTAATTTCCAGTCCCTAGACCTTGATCTAAGCATTTCCTGACATTTCAACTTCGTATAAGATCTGGGTATAAATTACAGTAAGTCCCATGTGTTGGACTGTATCATAAAGGTTATATGACGTAGATATATACTACAGGCACAGTAATTTCCATGTGATGCCTGGCTACTAACGGGTCACTTCCTGTATGGAGAGTTGCAGCGACACCTTACTGTTGAAATCCACCAAAACATGTTGTCAATAAATATTATAATATGCATCAGTTTCAAAGGTGCGGTCACTCCAGACTGGTCATGCAAGGTTACTAATAATGTTTCTTTTTCATTGAAGTAGAGGGTGTTAGAGAAAATAAGTGTCGCTATTTGAAGCGTCACAATTATTATGCAATGGCTGTATTTCATGAGTAGTTTAGGACGTGAAGTGTTCGTAGGAAAAGTTTGTGGTAATTAGATGGTGTATTGATGCAGGACCCAGGCGTTCTCTCTCTCTCTCTCTCTCTCTCTCTCTCTCTCTCTCTCTCTCTCTCTCTCTCTCTGTGGGTATACCCAAGTTAACATACCTAGTGACAATTGAAATCAATACAGGTCATTAAAACACACCTTTAATTAAGTTCCGAGATTATATTATTTTAAGAGTTATAGTTCCAATCTTGTAAAAAGTGTAACATTCTGTATACTGGTAAAGACACATTAACCTGATACCTACGTTTATATAGTTCGCAGGGTTACTTAACAACAGAAAGGTCATTAAAGGTCACTGCAAGACGTAGAGGTCCATAAAGATCATAGAGGTCACTGGGGTAGTAGAGGTCATTGATGGTCGTAGAGGTCACTGAAAGTCATAGAAGTCACTGGTGATCATACAGGTCACTGGGGTCATAAAGGTCACTGAAGGTCGTATAGGTCACTGAAGGTCGTCGAGGTCACTGAAGCTCATAGAGGTCACTGGGGTTATAGAGGTCACTTAAAGACGTAGAAGTCACTGATGGATCATAGAGGTCACTGGAGATCATAGAGGTTACTGGAGGCCGTAGAGATCTTTGAAGGTCATTTAGGTCTTCGGGGCTATAGAGGTCACTGCAGGTCATAGAGGTCACTGGATGTCGTAAAAAACTGGAGGTCGTAGAGGTCACTGTAGGTCGTAGAGGTCACTGGATACTGTACAGGTCGCTAGGGGTCATAGAGACTACTGAAGGTCGTAGAGGACACTGGGGGTCATAGAGGTCACTGGTGGTCATAGAGGTCACTGAAAGTTGTAGAGGCCACTGGAGGTCATAGAGGTCACTGAAGTTGTAGAGGTCACTGAAGGTCGTAGAGGTCACTGAAGGTCGTAAAGGTCACTGAAGGTCATAGAGTTCACTAGAGGTCATAGAGGTCATAGAGGTCACTGGGGGTCATAGAGGTCACTGAAGGTCATCGAAATCACTGAAGGGTAGTGTGGTCTTTAGGTCACAGAGGTCACTGTAGCTCATAGAGGTCATTGAATCTCGTAGAGGTCACTGAGGTTCAAAGAGGTCACTGGGGTCGTACAGGTCAATGGGGTTCATAGAGTTTACTAGGGGTCATACACTTCACTCGGGGTCATAGAGGTCACTTAAGGTCGTAGAGGTCACTGGAGGCCATAGGTTACTTGAGGTCATAGAGGTCTCTGAAGGTCATTGAGGTCTTTGGAGTCAGAGGTCACTGAAAGTCGTAGAGGTTACTGAAGGTCGTAGAGGTCGTAGAGGTCACTTGAGGACATAGAGGTCTCTGGGGGTCACTGAGGTCTTTGGAATCATAGAGGTCACTGAAGGTCCTAGAGGTCACTGGATGTCGTAGAATTCACTGGAGGTCGTAGAGGTCACTGAAGGTCGGAGAAGTCAATGAAGGGCGTAGAGGTCACTGTAGGTCATAGAGGTCACTGGAGAGCATAGAGTCACTGGATATCATAGAGGTCACTGTAGGTCATAGAGGTCACTGGAGGTTGGAGACAGCATGAGGTAGGAGGAGTTTGCTGTGGCCTCCAGTGATGTGAAAGGTCATTTCCTCCTCTGTGGAATAATAAGTGAAATTAATAATTTATCTAAGCAACGTTTGTTTATTATTATTATTATTATTATTATTATTATTATTATTATTATTATTATTATTATTATTATTATTATTATTATTATTATTATTTTTATTATTATTATTATTATTATTATTTATTTTATTTTTATTTTTTTTTTATTAGTAGTAGCAGTAGAAGTAATAGTAGCTATTTATGTATTAGGATCTCTAATATTAAGGTTATAAAATGGTGTAGAAGGTATGCCAATTGGGGGAGGCTGGAGGCCATTTTCTATAAAAAAAAATATATATATATATATATATATATATATATATATATATATATATATATATATATATATATATATATATATATATATATATATATATATATATATATATATATATATATATATATATGCTGAAACACAAGGAAAGAAGAAAACACTTAGTTCCCAAGCGCTTTCGTGTAATTCACATCTTCAGGGGTGAGTACAGACTAAGGAGAAGTACAAAACAAGGTGTATATATACAGAGGAGGGTGAGGTCAGGTCCACAATGGTCACATCTTCAGGGGTGAGTACCACCCCTAAAGATGTGAATTACACGAAAGCGCTTGGGAACAAAGTGTTTTCTTTCTTTCCTTGTGGTTATCAGCATATACCTGGATCACGCGCACCTACAGTGGTTTATTTGCACATATATATAGTAGTTGTAGGCGGCCGGCGTGGGTGTGGTGGAGTGTCCTCCCTCATCTAAAGTGTTATTGTAGGGGACATATTCGGAGTGTGGGAGCTGGAAATTCACAGTGTGTCGGTGATTATCGGATGTCACCCTAAGCATTGTCACCGAAGGTTCTTCTCATCCCTTACGGCATTAATCGCAAATATTCCGTGTGTTCACCAGCGATCACCATGCGAGTAGTGAGTGTTTTGCGGGACAGCTGGTGCAGGTACCAGTGCCAGTGTCGATAGGCCTACTTTGGCAGGTGTGGCCTCGCGACTCTCGCCCCTATGGGCAGTGACAGAAGGTCATGTGTTCTACCGTTTGCGGTCGCCTCCCACAAGTAACGGACACTTCATGTAGTGACACCCGACCAAGTAAGTATACATAACTAATCTTACATCAGTGGTTATTTCTGCCAAGGATATATAAACAAGTGTTAGGTGTGACAATAGGGTGTGTCATAGGAGGGAAGATCAGCTAAAACTAATGGCCCATCACTTTTTTGGTAGATTTTAGTGTATATAAACAGAAAATAATTTCAGTTTCAATATTTTGCAACCTTTTGCTAGGTAAATTTTAGCGTGAAATTTATCGAAAATCTAACGTACAGCTGCATTAGTGCATTACAACGTAAATAGTGAACATTGCTTTCGACTTCATTCTTAACAACCCAACTAACCAATATTTTTTTATGTTTCAGATTCGATGATGAGAAAGTTGATAGCATTTGCGATGGCTGCTGGCCGCAGACGAGGAACCAAAAAATCCAGCCATCTCAGTCACTATTATCTTGGGTCTGGGGAGAGAGCTCTGAAGTCGAAGCGCCTACATTGAGAGATGCTTTTGAGATACGGTGTTTTTAATCAGGCAACCAGTGAAAAGAACCAAAGAACTTTACACAAACAAAGTACATGCCAGATATGACCAAAGCTGTCTTGGCACAGTACACTCTGGCTAACGCTCAGTTCAAGCTTCCAGTCATAACAAGTCAGAAGAAGATTAGTGAGAGACTGCTAGCCAGTTGGGAAAAGGCAAGAGATATCTCTCTTAGGAGAGGAAAACTTGCAGTTAAGGACAGCTTTGCCAAGCAACTGGACCAGTTATTTGACATAATTACTTGCAAGTGCCCAATTGTTCTCTGTCCTGAGTTTAGATGCGATCGTGACTGTAAATCCGAGGCCCACATCTCATGTATTTGCAAGCGTGAACCAAAGATTCCTTGTGATCGAACTGGCATTTGTCAAAGCACAGAGAGAGAGAAGACTGGCAGGGGCTCTCATGATTTCTAGCCAAGATATTCCGAGTCCAAGAGACAGGGGCTACAGAGAGACAGAAGAGGAGAAGAGTTGCCGAGGAAAAGAGACTTGAGAAGGCCCAGGGTGAGGTAAAAAAGGCCGATGATTGGAGTCAAGCTGATTCAGAGTTTAATGACTTCCCCATGGCTGATCCGAGTGCTGACCAGGAGAATGGTGACTTTGTCCCTAACCCAGAAAATAATGATCCCAAACCTTCCAGGCATAAGATTCGAAATGGGAAAGATATCCTGAGCATAGCTCTGGCCAGCATGTGACACCACACTGGTCTCAGAGAAACTGCAGAGATAGCAACAGCTGCCTGGATTGACGGTGGTTTGATAACACCTGATGATGTTCACCTGGTGATAGATCATAACAAAGTAAGGAGAGCTCAGGAGAAACTTGTCAGTAACCTAGAAGAGGAGTTTGATAAGGGGATAAGAGAAAATGGAATCAATTGTTTGTTCTTTGATGGGAGAAGGGATGACACTAAAGTGTTCATGAAAGTTGGAGATTCTGACAAGTTGTTCCCTGCCATGGTGAAGGAGGAACACTACTCCTGCTGCAGTGAACCAGGAGGGAAGTATTTGTGGCATTTCACTCCAGAGAAAGATGACATCAGGAAACCAGCTGAGATAGTGGCAGATAACATTGTGAACTGGCTCAAAGAGAGGAACGTAGACCAGACCCTGCAGGCCATTGGAGGGGACAGCAGCAACACGAACACAGGGTGGCAAGGGGGGGTCATACAGTGGATAGAGCGGAAGATTGGGAGGAAGCTGGTCTGGATTGTTTGTGACCTCCACACCAAAGAGTTGCCACTCAGACATCTGATCCAGGAGCTGGATGGCAAGACTCTTTCAAACAACAGATGGTTTGGTCCTCTTGGCAAGATGCTGGACTCTGCCACTGAGTTAGAAATAAATCCGAGCTTTGAAAAAATCACAGATGGCCCTCCACTCGTTGAGCTTGCACATACTGTCATTGACGACCTGAGTACTGACCAGTACTATGGTTACATGATTTGCAGTGCCATCAAAACTGGGGTCATGCCTGATAGACTTGCTTACCTGCAGATAGGTCCAGTCTCACATTCTAGGTGGCTCACAACGGCTCTCAGGTCTCTGCAGAATTTGGGTCGCTCATCAAACTGAAAGGGAACCAGCTTCACAACCTGAGACTTATTGTCCAATTCATCGTGGAGTGTCTACTTGCCAAATTGGTTCAACACCAAGGTCAAGTCATCGTTCTCCGAAGGTCCGAGGCATGTTCTCTTCCAGCTTGAGCTCCTGAGGAGTCAGCCAAGGAAGGTTGTTCAGATTGTGGAGCAGACTGTGAGGAGATCTTTCCTGGTATGCTCATCCCGAGGCAGTTCTGCAGACAATGCTCTGCAGTAAGGATGAGGAGGAGAGAAGAGTGGCAGTCAAAAAGATCTTGGATATGAGACTTATGAGAGGATCTGGGCATGACGAATCAGTTGGTGACGATTCCTTCAGGGTCAGGAAGACTCCTGAAGTCCAGGCTGGCAGTGAGCCCCTCTACCTGCAGCCTCACCAATGTTCAAGCCAGAGCTTTCCTGGACAACCCCATGCATGTCCCTGCCTGGCCCTCGCGACACCCAGAGTATAGAGCTGTGTACAGCAAGTGAGCGAGGCCAGCAGTCACGTACAGCCAGGAGAGGAGGGAAGGCTACATCCGAGCTCAGGTGGTCAGCAGGAGGTGATGAGTAGAAACAGAAGCAAGAAAGACATGTTCTCTATGGTGTGCAGCAACACCGGGTCGTAGTAGTAAAACCGGTTTTTGTATTTGATGATATTGTTTTCGAAAGGTATATTAAATTTAATAAATGTGTCAAGATCATTCGTTTCACTATTCTGGATCATTTTCATCCTAATAAATTAACCTGATACATTTACTTTACTTTAAATAAGCTATTTAGTGGTGTTGGTAAAAGGGTGGGAATACTGAATTTTCATAAGATTTCAAGTTAAAATTTACCTCGCAAAAAATGAAAACTTTTCAAATCTGAAGATATCACATGATTCTGCACATGGAACTACATCATTAATACCATGGGCCGATTTTTCAAACTCAAAAAAAAAAAATTCGCCTCCGTATGACACACCCTAGTGTGACAATTCTTGCTCCCAGTGTATCACTCTGACGTGTGGATTGTCGCCCTCAGGGGAGTGGCCTACACACCCATGCGCGCACGTATGCCAATACTACCCGGACACAGCAGTCCAGCCTGTCACCTCTCCGCCCTTTCCTCATAAGAACTAGTTTCTTCTTCTGTATGGGACCATAGCAGATGTCGGAGGCGGACGTAACTGTCGCCCGAAGTGCAGAACACTATGCCAGTTAACAGACATTGTTGCGTCTGTGCTAGCCAGAACCAAAATTGCACTAACTGTGATTGTGCGAGAAACAACCGACCATGTGTGGTTTGCAGAAAGGGAAACAATTGTCGGAACCCACATGGCAGGGAGCCGACACAGGAGGCCACAGTGGATATCGCCGGGACCCAACCGCCAGATGATATCCTAAATGATAGCAGTGCGTCTACTCAACCTGAAAATGTAGTACCAATAAACGCTGCTCCAATAGCAGTAGATGTCCACGAGGTGAATGGCAGACAGCCACCACAGTGGAATGGCATGTCGATGGAAAATGCGGACATATGGGTTAAAGAAACTTACTCAGAATTTGTCAGGTGGTCGCCAGCTAACCTGTTTGAACCACCCAAGTGTGCGGTCACCAGAGAAATGATTCGGGAGATGACTCGCCTCATAACAGTGTACACTCAGGACTGCTTCCTTGCTCCTTTAGCTCTTCAAATGGGGCAATAATACACCATCTATTCTGTCAGAGGACACACACAAGGACTAAGCATAAAGAAAATGTGGCAGCAATGAAGAGAAGATTGACAATATGGCAGAATGGGGACCAAGAACACTGCAGGAGAGACTAAAATTTAT